GGTGTAGACATCATGGCACTCGGAGTCCTTGGGAATGACGAAAGTTACGGATAGGAAGGTCTTGCAGCGGATGAGCAGCGGAGATCCTGTCGTGCTCAAGGGAAGCTTCTCAATGCTGGCCACGTGCATGTGCAGGATCTGAAATGGCAGAAAAGCGTAAACACACGGATATAACGTCCAGTGCGGTTAATAAAGCTATAGAAAATGGGTTTACCAGCTACTCGGATGATTGCCGCTTATGGTTTGCTCCCCTTGGTGAGCGAAACATTCAAGAAACCAGCTTACGACCGTGACTTCGCCCAAGGCGAATGTCGCTTATGCAACGCTCGCAGTACCAACTCCCCCTTGGACATCCCGGCTACGTGCCTGGCCAGAACTGCTTTCGCCACTAAATAATTGATGCGCCCCAGTGGCGGGTAGTAAAAAAAACAGAGCCAGCTGAGTCAGGGGAGGAATGCCAGCGGGGAGGAGCTGCCGGATTATGAGGAACTAAGCAACCAGTTTTCAGTGACGCAGAAAATCGATAGCTGCCTGCTTTTCGCCCCCTCACGGCGGCTCGCTTACTCGGATCGTAAGTGTTTTCACTTTTAATTAACCACTTTGCGCGGCCCCGCAAGTGCGTCTCATCCGGAGTCCCGACACCTACGCTCCTGGGCCACTTGTGGCACTCGGATACGCCAACTTGCTCCGGGGAGTGCATAATTAATACAATTTTGGCGGGGCAATTAAAATGCAATGCTTGCCTGCTTCCGGCCAGAAAGCTCGTTACGTATACGCAGTGGGCAACTTACACGGATGGAATAATTAAACGCATTTAGTGGCACTCGCATGTGCAGGGATTTGAGCAGCAAAGGACAGCGGCGGTGTGCCAAAGGATATGAGCTTGTCGGGCACTTATTGTGCAATATGACGCTAAGCCAGGGATTTTCGCGACTATTCAGGCCGCCTATTGTCACTTTATCCTTTCAATTTCGCTGGAAAAAATCGCATTCGCCAACACAAACAACGAGCACTGAGCTGCAGCAGCTTTTCAACCTATTCGCAGCGAGTTTAAAGAGATGTTTCCTGCAGCGACAGCAAGGCTGAACGAATTCAATTTGTTTGCGTGCAATGGGGCGTATACGCAACACGCTTGTGCAAACATTCCTTTGTGTGCCAGATTGCAGCGGGCGAATTAAATGCGCTGGCAAACAAGAAACTTAAAGCGCAGACTTGTTTGAGGAAACTTTTCGCCACTCAACCGCTGTCTTCCGCTGGAGGAGAAGGCGCACAGGAAATGCAGCGAACCCAAGACATTAGTCGGCATCCAGAGGGGCTCTAAACTTTTTGACAGCTGCGAGGTCGGTGCTAAACCGAAAAGAAACCCATTTGAGCACGTTCGCCAGCAGCAGTCTTATTTGCAAGCACAGTGGTGACTCACATAAACGTTTTGTGGGCCACGCAAATCCACATTTGCCACTCCAGCCGCAGAAGTTCGAGGAAGTTGCCAAACGACGCCAGTTTCGGTTGGGTGCTACAGCATTGATGATGTCATTACGGGCCACTTACCCAGGTCTCCTTGTTGCTGTCGGGCTCCACGAATATCAGATGGGTGGCCGTCAGATAGAGGGTGCCCACCGTGGGATTTTTGGTATTGTAGCGATCTATCATCCGCACATTTTCCACCTGCACAAACAGAGAGAGAGAATGGAAATGGTTACAATTCGGTTTAAACTTCCCCGCTTCACTGCAGCTGAGCCCGCTGACGTCAGCGGAATCCATATAGTTTTGTGGAAGCCCACTCGACATGCGATAAGGAATAAACTGCATGAGCGCGAAGAAGGAGTAAACTTTTTCAATCAACTTTCAGCGAGAAGGAAGCTTCATCAAGCATTCACCAAAGCCGAGGATATGTCAACTTTAAAGCACCTCCAAGGATAGGCACATGTGCCCCTTGCGGTTAGTTGGCTTGCAACCGACCGGCGGCTCATGAATTTCTTTGATGGTCCTCCAGGCCAGATTCCCCAGCCCATTTCATCCATTCCCGGCCATGCCACCCACCGCTTCCCTTTTTCCGTTTTGTCTGCGCCGGCTTTTATTGCCCAGGAGGCTTACATATTCCATTTCCCGAGAGCCGTTCATCATCGGACTAATTTCCTTTCATGTCACTTAGATTGAGGCCTTTGTTTGAGCCGGGTCCATTGTCGGGCTAGATAAGGTTAGTTAATTGCCTGATTTAGCCAGTGGGAGTTCATTACTCTCGCCCAGCGGGCAGGCAGCTAAACATGCAAATTGAAGCCTGAATATAAGCTAACAAATTCATCCAACTAAGCATAAAAATGGTTCGAGCTTTAATGTCGTTGAAAGGTACGAACTGTTAAACAGGAAAAACCTTCAAAAGCTGGCAGATCAGCGAGATATTTCAGTTACTACATCAAAATGTCATTCGTGTTTAGGATGAGTTACGCCTGCTTCCATTTATGGTTTTGCACCCATGCACGAGTATTTAATTCGATTACAAAAGCTAAATTGCACATGCAGAAGCTGAATCATGGCCACCAGTTTGCTGGCAACGTGGCGCATACTTGATGTAGAGCAAAGAGAATAAATAAAGCATTTTTAAACGTGAATTATTAGATACACACAAATAAGGCTAAATCAATTGCATCCATTCAATCTACGTATAGTGCACATGGAGTACCATGCACTACCAAAGTCCATTGGTGGTCAACATGGGAACCTTGACCATTACCGTCCGCTGGCCTGCACTTGATGTACGAGTGCAATTTGCCAGCCGATGGCTGTTGCATCTGCGACTTTGATGGAAAACCCATCCCATTAATTGAGCGAGCTCCGGAGCCGAGTGTCCTGCTGACAATGCAACAATCTGTCAAACTTGTGGGTGCCCCAAGGAGTGATTGTGGTGACGCACATGGCGCTCGATGCAGTCGGCATGGTCCTGGCCAGGACCTGCTCCTACACATGACCCAAATAGGAAACGGGAAACGGGTTTCGGGAAGGGGCGAAAACAGCTTTTGGCAGCCCCGGGCTTATTGCCTGTGTGCTCGATGCTGATTTGCATATTTTCCGGCCAGTAGCCGGTGGCCATGGGTAAAATGGGCAAATTAGCTCGATTTCCTCGACATGATTTGCATGGGTTACCTTCTTGAGCACACTGTTGCCGTTGTAGAAGAGGGGAGCCTCGTTGAACTCCTCCTCGATCCAGGAGACCACCTTCTCGGAGACAAAGGGCGGCACGGGTACGCCCCACAGCCTCTTGTTGCCGTCCGGCGGCTCCTCCGTCTCCGGCGAAATGTTGTCGAAGCTGAGGCGCAGCGCGGAGGTGGGGGACAATTGGCGCTCGATCTCGTTGAACTTGTTCATGAATCGGGTGAAGTCCATAATGGGATGGCCGCTTTATTGATTTTGAATCAGCAGCAATCGTGTGCTGGCAACTCGAATGGAATCAAACCGAGTTTGTATGGGTGGAAGGGCTTGGGACTTTCACTTTTCGCCTGCCTCACGAGCGCGAAACTCGCGCTATACACTGCGACTTGCTGTGCGATTTTCCCTTTTTCTGCGATTTTCCCACACCAATATGAGTGTGTGTAGTTTGGTTGTGGCAGCACGAAGTGCTCCCGTCGAGCGATGGATTGAAACTCAATTGCCTGCGATGAATGCGCGCGCTTAAAAGCGCGCTACGATTTTGTGTTGGGGAAATTTGCCTGGGGAAATTCTCTCTCTAACAAAGAGAGGACAAATTGGGCAGTTTGTTACATTGAAATACCCTGTAAGGACTGGGTTCATCCTAAGTAAACAGCAACATGATTTAATACTTGATGATTAAGTAACAAGTTACTGGTTTAATATAGGTCACAAAAACCCATCAATAATAAGTAATGCTACATTTTGTAGATAAACAATATTACCTATGAGGGATTTTTATTTGAAATGACTAATGCCTCGCTTTAATTATTTACTTTACAATTACTTAAAAGGTGTCTTTGAATACGCAAGAATCTTTACTATCTGTGCTAGAATGCAAATAGCTGAGCACAACATTTGGGCATTTTCTAGCGATTTGTGTAAGAATTTAAGAATCAATTTAAGTTTCGTTGCCTTCTGAGGTCCAAATAAGTTTGTACACTTGCCCTGATAACTAACTCATTTCGGGGATGCGGGAATCCTATCAACTTCGGCCACAACACGAACCTAGTTAAATAGGCCACGTCAAAGGGCAGAAGTGTATGTAACCTTCCTTTTGGCCGCCGAGAGAACCTTCCACTGATTTAGATGAACGACTTTTCACGGTTAAAAATTGAGGCTGTGTGGGTGGATTTTGGTTAATTTTACTGGGAAGAGAGAGGGGCCGAAACCTATTTACTTTTGCATTCTCTGCGCATGTTTTGGTTCCGCAATGATAGATTTGAATTTCTGGGAGTGCTCCCACCTTTCCGGGCAGGAGCTCCCACCTGTGTGGGCGGAGTAGCCGGTACTTTTCCCACGGAAAGGGTCAGGTGGAGCACCCATTCCATCGATTTCCCAGTGGCCAGCCCCCCAGTTGGATGACTCACTGCCCCTTCGCGGCATCCCGGCCAGGTGCTCCACAGTGGCCGCCGAGTGATGACCCTGGCTGCATTTCACCCTATCGCATTGATTAAGCTGATAACTAACCTTGGCGAGCTTTATTTCGTCCATTGTTTACGTTTTGATTGGGTTTTCCTGTTGCCTCACGTGAAAACGAGCCACAAAGTCACTTAGCACTGATTCGACAACCGGTTCACAAGCTCACGCAAGGGATCCCCGTTAATTTGGTTGAAATGCACTTGTGTTTTCTGTTTTATTGCATTTTTTTTTGTAATTATTCCGGAATAATAATAAATTCTTCTAAGCGATTGTCCGAACTAGGGGTGTGCTCCAGTCGATAAGAACCATCCCCGAAGTTATCGGCTTTCGACTGCTATCAGCGGCCACACTTTTCGCCCATCTGGCAGCCCTTGGCAGGTTCAAATATTGTGCGCAAAAATGCATTTAATGTACGTTAAAGTTCAAACACATACAAGTAACAATCGCGATGGCTATCAAAAATTGACTAACATTGACGGTAGGCGGTTGGTTCTAGCCATTTAAGTGCACTTCAGGCGTGGGCGGAAGGGTCTAAATGCGGTGAGTGGTCGTCCTGTTCAGTTACGCAGTCCTACGTATTTGGTCCAGACGCCCTTGCTATCAAAATAGGGTTTGTTCCGGGAGCAGATGATGGCCTCCCTGAAGACATCGGCATAGGAGGACGGCATGGTCGCGTGCTTATAGAGACTGAAGAGGAATTCGTATATCTGCAAGTATGCTCATTGGTATTTTGAGGGGAACAGCAACCAGAGTGTTTCAAACCTTAGCCTCCTGATCCTTCCAGAAGATGTGATCGCACAGGTACTGCAAGCTCTCCGGGAACAGCGACAGTCGCTGTTTGTCGTCCGTGGCTACCACATCCACGCTGCCCAACAGCACGGCACAGCCCGAGAGCACATCCACGGCTAGGATGAAGATGTCCAGCAGGTAGAGCGCCCTGTTCACCTTCTCCTTGTTGGATGCCTCGGCCAAGAGCATTTGGATCTCCAGGAACATCTCCGCTATCCAGTTGCTGGAGTGCTCATCGCTGGCAAAAGCGTACAGAGTGGCTGCCAGGTGGCGGTAGAAGAAAGGCCGCTCCTCCGCTCGTTTCTCATAGGCATCTATTATGGGGGTCAGCCACTTGAGAGGATTTGGAAGCTTGTCGTTGTACAAAACCAAATAGCATCGAATGATGGTGGCCTTCTTCAGCTTGCCCACCGGCGTCTCCCACCAATTGGCTGGCGTCGTTAGACCATCGATGGCATTCGGATGCAGTGTGGCCACCACTTCCGTATAGCGTTCGAAGAGCCTTGAGTCCAGGTTCATAGAGTCCATGTAACGCTCAACAATCAGCGTGAAAACGTCCAGCACCTCGGGTATGTCGCACTTGCCGGAGAAGATGTACTTGACACTTTCCAAAAACTTTTCGAACAAGCATCCTAAAAAGAAGTCAAAGGTTTCAAGAAATGTTTCATTCAAATCAAAGCAAATTTGGACGTACCTTCAACAAAGTCATTTATCTGCGATTCCTTGAAGCAGTAGACAGCCACCTTCTCGGCAAAGTTCTTCAGAATCTGAAGGCTCACACTGTTCGCAATTTCTGGCAGCAATGAAAAGAGGAGCAACAGATCCTCCTCGAAGCAGTTGGGCTCAAAGTCGATCAGGAAATTTTCCAGGAGACGCTTGGCGGTTCCCGAATTAACGGCCTGATTCTTGGCAATTATGATGCAATATCTGCGCGCATCGAAGGACAAGTGGAAGAAGCTGGTGAGGCAACTCCAGTCCAGTGGCGGAATGGGCTTGGGAAACTTCTTCGACAGCGACCGCAGGGCGAATGTTACGGCATACGGTTCTGGGACGTAATCTCCAAAGCGCGCTTGGCTCACCAGGTAGTTGGTCACAGCCCGGAGTGGACTGGTGGCAAACAAGCCCACGAGCTTCCGAGGCTCCGGCTTACCCTCGGGCAGGCGGTAGACTCCGCTGCGAAACGCGCCAATCTCACTGCCTATGTGATGGGAAATCAAGTCCGCCGCGGCGTCTCCGCACTCCGGACGTATCTTCTGCAGTAGCTGCACCCACACCTCACCGGGCACCGTCTCCTGCTGCAGATCCACAACTTCTCGACCTCCGGGACCTCCAGCTCCTACTCCCCCTCCAACGATTTCAAATCGAAATTGAGCCGGAATGTGGCGTAGGTTTAAAGTAACTCCCGGTTCGTAGTTCTTGAGTGCAACGAGGGCATTCCGCACCTGGGCAGCATCCGTGCCCGGCCGACTAATAGCTTGCCACAGCTGCTCCAGTGCATCATCCGCCAACTTCTCGTACTCCAGGGTGGGAGTCTGCAGCAGCGGTACGAGACCAAAGAGCCTGTACAGCGACTTCAGCGTCTGCGGACGCAGCTCGTTCCGAAATTTACTGCCCAGCGCCTGCCAGGTGGAAGCAATGTTCACGGTGTGACTGTCGCACAAAGCGTATATGGCATCCAGGGCCAAGGATGTGGCCAGATCACCCGCCTCATCGGAGGAATGGTTGAGGGTGTTGCTCAGATGCGGGAGCAGCTCCGAGCCATGTAAAGTGGGCCTGGAAATGAGTGTCAGTCGATCAGCAAGTCTGTTGGGTTAGGGTAATTTCAAAGCTACTTCTCCTGACAGATCTCCCGCATAGCATGGGTGCGGGCTATCTGCAGCTCCCAGCGTTTGTCATTGTCCGGCAGTGGTTGGGCAATCTGCTTCAGCAGGAAGGGATAAGTACGCGTCTCCACTCGCCATAGGCGCACATATAGGTCCACGCAGAATGTGCCGTTCTCGGTGGAAAGATTTCGTATGGTGTTAAGTATCATGGGCACATTGTCCTTAAAACAATATATGTATAAATCAAAGGTAAGGGTGTAGATGGGGCACACTTACCTTGCACACTGCAAAGCTGGCCAATCCTCTGAGCAGCTCCAGCTGCAGCTCAGGATTGTTTTCGTGGGCGAGCTTGAAAATGTATGTCATAAGGAAATCGTAGGCGATGCCCTCGTTGACCTTAACGATTTGCAGTATGACCTCGTAGATCTTGAACCAGCAGTCCACAGGCGGCTTCTTCGATAGGAAAAGCGCGCGCAGAAAGAGGTGCAGGCGCTGGCAGAATACCGAATTGGCCTTGACATTCAGGGCGTCCACAAATGCAAACACATCCTGGTTGTCGGAGGCGTCGAAGGACTCCACCAATGTGGCCAAATCGAAGGCGATCGCAATGTCCGGGTGATAGTTGCGCATATGGGCGGGCTTCAATTGCTTGGTGGAGATTACCTCTGCCTCCTGGTCCGAAGTCTCAGTGTCCAACACCCTTTCGACTATCTGATGGGCCAAGGCCAGGCCTTCTGCGGGTATGAATGCAGTCTGAGACATCCACTGAATAATTCCGTCCAGACACATGTTCAGAATGTATTCATGGCCACAGCGCTCCTGCACCACCACGAAAACGATAATGCGCAGCAGATCCGCCAGGTAAAATGGGGACAGAACGTGCAAAACCTCGGCAAGAAGAACCAAGAGGACATGGTAGTGGTCCTTCGTGTGCTCGCGCGTGGCATGGAGCACTCGGAGCAGGCACTGCAGGCTTGGACGCGGATCGATTCCGTAACTGGCAAGCTGTTTGATGAGACAGGCTTGATAGATTCCCAAATCAATGGACTGCGCGTGGTCCTCCCGCTGCAGAAAGTGGTCGATGGCCTCAATGACCAGAATGCTGGTGCACAGGCAAGTGTTCGCGTTGTTGAACTTGCTCCACGCCAATAGCTCCTGCATCAGAGCTCGCGCCTCCGGTTGCTTTCCACTGAGATTTAGCACACAAGTCCAAATGGGCTTTACATCGTGCAGCGTTTGGGGATTGCAAAGCACGTAAAGAAACACGGGTCTCAGGTATTCTATGCTGTAGTCCCGAATGCTGCGAATGTAGTTAGGATATGTGATTCACGCTCCGCCAATCCAGTAGCCAGGTTAAACTCACCCCTTGTCGTGGTGCTGACAAATGCCAATGATCTTGTTGGCCACATCGTGCATGTTGGCACTAGAGTGCTGAAGCAGCGAGATCAGCGGATGCTGTTGCGTCTTCAGGCCATAGGAGCACTGATAGGACTCCTGGTCCTTGAGGGACGAGGTCCGGCGTTTCAGGCTTAAAAGCTGCAGACCCAAGATGCTCTCCGTGATGATGGCAAAGTGCATTGGACTGGAAGCAAAGGGATCAGCAAATTGTGGTGTAAGGTAGCCATAGATTACAGGTTAAGATACTTAAACTAAGAGTGACACTTTTGGGCGTTTACAATTCCTGCAACCATTAGGATGGAACGACTGAAACAGCCGCTTAGCGTTCCCTTCCGGAGTAGCAGCTGCAAATCAGCAATCAAGGACGGAAGCCTCTTTTACGGCGGAGGTGGAGTAAATCGCTTTGCGTTTGACGAGGTAATTACAATTCACGCTGTGGCCACAAGTCGCCTGGGTTTGGCCTCTAATTGCAGGCCAATTAATATGCAATCCTTTTTGCCTGCACTTGCAGCTCGACCGGACTGGCTTATCAAGGTTAATTCCGGTATTACATGACCGCCTGTTCGTCCTTCGTCGCTGCGCAAACATTTCAAGTTCAATGCCAGACTTTTCAGTTCTCAGTATTGCTTTGCATACATCAAATATTTGCCAGTCAAGGCTGAGGGATATGATATGTGGGTGTAGTGCTGCGTGGCGGGAAATGGCTAATAGTTTTTACGGGCCCCAGCCATAATCGCTGTTGATCCACAAGATTGACGACTGCGGATTGCGGCCAAGCGGAAACCGAGTCAATGCCAAACAACTGGGATTTTGGATCAACTGCGAGTCATAATTCATTTGCGCATTTGCTACATGACGTGCCAAGTGCTGGGCAATTAATTTGGGGCACGCGTCCAGCGGAAATGCGAGGGATTGCGTGCGTCGACGGCCGGAAGGAGGGTCGACAATGTTGGAGGCACTTGGTGGCGGGCGTTAAATGGCGCGTTAATTAACTGGCTGCTCTGGGGAATCCACGCTGTTTGAGTTTCAGCCAGACTCTGACTGGCTAATTTATGCACCTTAGTGTGCAATTTTGCAATTGGAATCGCTGCGCTCCACTTAGCCTGATAGACCAGCACGCCAGTCGCCCTGCTGTTCCACCTCCTGCCTGCTGCAGACCTCCGGAAGTTCAAAGGTGCGCCCTGCGGAATCGAGCCACACACGTATGTACATATGTATGTGGGTCGTGGGCGGGTTCTCTGGCCAGATAGCCGTTCCGTTGTCCTCACCCCGCGTTCGCCAGCATGGAGAGCAGGCTGTTCTGCACTCCGTTGGCCTCCAGGACGCCCTCATCCACCAGGCGCACCAGCGTCTGACAGCTCATCAGGCTGAGCTGCATGTGGTCGTGCTTGCACTGCGCCTTGAGGAACTCGATTTCCTTGATTTGGTGCTCGGGCACCTGCTTCTCCCGGCTCTCCACCACCTTGGCGTAGATCTTCTCCAGGCAAGAGGCCAGTTTGACCACCGAGCTGTGCGGCTTTATGCTGGCGAAGTCCTCCATGGCGCTGAAATAGCAAACACAACTTGAAGTTAGCTGGCGTTTTTTCGAGGCGCTGCGATTTATTGTTTGTTTGGGTCCTAGGATTTGCTGCCCCAGCGGTGCGCGGCGCGTGTCCTTTCTGCTGCTCGGCTGCCACTCGAATGGAGTGGAAAATCCGAAGCGGTTTGAACGTTGCCGCGTTTTCCGGCGCTTTCCACCCCCGCCACCTACTCACATTTTCCTTGTTTACCGCTTTTCTTTAAATCGGTTCGTGTTGGCTCATTTCATGCGAAGGCTGCAGGATGTGGCAGGTCAGTTGGCTGCTTGTTTTCCACTCAAGGGGCTGTTTTAGCAGGGAAATTCGGAGAATGCGTGCAAAATGAAAAGCCGGTCGCGTATTGTTTTCCTTTGTTGTTAAAAATCAGCTGTTAGAGTGGCCAGCCGTGGACTTGGGCTTCTGCAAGGTGGCAACGCTGCGTGCTGCAATGGTTTCACAAAGTTGAATTTCAAAATTTGAATTCCCACCTTAAAGATATCTTTAAAAAATGTTTTGCTAAATTACTTCAATAAAAAGTCCTACAAGTGATAACTTCATTCAAAAAGTATCGAACGTAGTTTTATGTGTAAGTAGAATCAGCTTTGGAGTTAGATTCATTTTAAATTTAAGATCAAACTTTAAACAATAAATAAAGCGGGCTACAGCCCGTAATTAATACAATTTTAAAACTTAATCCGCATTGCAAGCGAATTTCGCAGTTGTTCAGGAAACAATTCGTTTCAATTGGATTTCATTAGCTCCGCCTGGCAGCCTCTGTGAACTCGGAGTACGCAAGTTATCATTGGGATAATGGACTTCTCTCGCCGAGGAACCAGTGATTTTTGCCCGACACCGAGTTGACCCGTTGAGATATTAACGACATGCTCTGTTAAGCCACTACAAGCTCATCATTTCGCCTCGCTACTCCGGGGCAGCTTCCTCTGCCCGGAATTGGCCAGGAGCCTGGAGCCTGGAGCCGGGAGCCGGGAGCCGACTGCCTTTTCAGTTAATTGACTTTATGCATTTTTGCCAACGCGCTCCGCCGTAAAATGAAATTAATTATGCCGCCGTTGCAGCTATAAAAATGTTGCGAAGCCGAAAGGAGCATCATAAATGAGGCTTCCACAAGGAAAACTCCACGAAAGTGCTACAGCGAGCTTGGCCGAGTTTAAACTGCAATCATTCATGGCCGCGAATCCTCGCAGCCCGGGCACAAAGTGCGGAGAAGACAAAGGTTAAGTCCAAGACGGGCCAACATAATTTCCGCTTCCTGACCCGAACTCCGTATTTTCGGCAGCTCCTTCCGTTCCCCTTCTGCTCCGCATGCTCCAACTGCCCCATCTGCTCCTGCCCACTTTTCGCCTGGGGATTTATGATTTTATTACCGAAAGGCACTGCACAACGGAAACGGAAACACTTTTTGCCCTACGATTTCGGCGTGTTTTTCAGCGTAACTCGACTCCGCAGTTTATTTTTTCGCCGAGGTGGCACACCAAAAGCTGTTGCAATTCAATCGTTTCGCTGGCCGCAGCCTTAAATTATTCGGCTCGGATTTAAATCACTGTCTTTTGGGACCCAGAGGGATTTTGTGGTTTGGTCTTGCGGTTTATCGCGCGGCTCTTCATAATTTTCATCGCTTGCTTTTGAACATTGAACAAAACATTCAATACAATATTCCAATGAAAAATATGGCACATTAAATGCCATTTCACTCACCGCAATCGCTGGAGGGGCCAAGGAAGCACATGATTGCAGCCAGGACCTGTTGACAGAGTTCTCAGAACTTGCGGTTGGCTTGAGCTCAAGAGGGTTTACGATTTCCAGTTCCGTACACGAATTATTGGGCTGTACATTTGGCGAAACCTCACCTTTTATTCAGTACCCCGGCGCAGAAAACAAAGGTTTCCAGAACACCCTTAAGTTTGGGTTATTTACGTTTCAACATAAAATATTTAAAGTGCCTTGGGCGACGAATATCGAGGCGGGTAATACCCTGAAATGTGTTTGCAAATGAAGGTTACATTTGAATTAGTTCTAAAGTTGCAGTCTTATATTGAACGTTACAAATAAATATTTATTTAAATAAGCTTTTGCTGAAGCAAAGTATACACCTATCTTAGAATCGTGAAACATTTTCTGTGGAGCCATACCCAAATATTTTAAACATTCTTACTTTCCTATCCGGCGAACGTATGTTAATTAAATAAACAAACAAGCGGTTTAAATTCACATTTCTCTCCCTGAAACTTTAATTGTTTTGCGGCAGAACCACATGCATCCGCAGGATATAACTCGCGCTTACAGCTGAAAGCTGGCATTTGAAGCTTCCGTGGAAAGCGGAGGCGGAGAGTTGGGTGCCCGGAGCACGTGGCAAGCGCAATTTGCATATGCCCAGAAAAGACAGGTGCTTAGCCCGTCCGGATCAGGACACGCCCCCGCAGCCACCGCCCCTTCGACCCTTCGCCAGCTGTCGCAACGGCCGCAATCACATTGCTTCAATTAAATGGAGTCAACTCATTAATAATGCAGACGGCGCATACTTGGATGCCATGTACAATGTACTGGTGTGAACTCGTGTGCCACGTTTGCTTGTTGGTTGGGCAGTCAGTGTTGCCGCTTAGGAACGGGAAACTTTAATCAAAAGCGTCGGCGGCGACTCGAAGTTCGGCTTGCTTCCATTTTGGAGCTGCCACACAAGGTCCTGTGGAATTTATGAATATTTATGCTCTAGCAGTTATGCACTCGATCTGCGTATGCCGGGCCACTGAATATTTATAGCTGCCGCAGTTAGTTACCTGGCGATGAAGTTGAATAGCAAGCATACGCACCGTTGTCCCGGCAACGATTTCCTTACGGCTGCTCAACTTCCAATCTGTTTCTACTACTTAATGTGCATAGTCAAATTTATTTTTAAGATGATTACGGTAATAACTGATAGTTAACTCGTAGAGTAAAAGGGCATATTAGATTCCTTGAGAAGTATGTAACAGGCAGACTTTAGAACTTCAGCCTTGGGATATTACTTCCTTTTTTGAATTTCTACAACACATCGGAATAATTACAAAAAAAATTAAAAAAAATAAATTTCTAAATTTGAATGCAGATTTTTACAGAATTGCGCCAGAAACATTTAGAGGTATGCCACTTCAAAATCGGATTAAGATATGTTGAGTTATGGAGCTTAGAACTTCAGCCTTGGGACAAACAGACAGACGGACGGACAGACGGACATTGCCAGATCGACTTGGCTATTGATCCTGATCAAGAATATACATACTTTATATGGTCGGAAACGCTTCCTTCTGCCTGTTACATACTTTTCAACGGATCTAGTATACCCTTTTACTCTACGAGTAACGGGTATAAAAAACGAGGAGTGTTTTTCATTCCCGAAAGGTAATCTAATACAAATGAATTCCTCAGCCGTAAATGATATTATATTATATCCTTATGCAATTGCAAAATTATTCACTTACCTTCAATTAGGCGTGGACTTTCGTTTTAGTAACTGAATCAAAACATATGAACAGGTAATTGATGCTCTCTAATTAGGACGATTTAAAGAATAAAACCAATATGCTTGCAAATTCGATTCCTTTGCAACTTAAAGTTCACAGCTCAATTTGGAGTACGGCCCTCGTCAGGAAATTACACAAATTTTATGTTGCCTACCTTCGGGCGCTTAAAGAAGGCAACTTAATAAGCACAAGTGTGTGTGGTTTCTCTGTACGTGTGTGTGTGTGAGTGTGAGTGTGTGTGCGGGTGTGGGTGTGGGTGAGCACATTTGTTGAATGATTTAACCTGCCACCTATTCATTCGTTCTGGTGGCCCACGTAAATTGTAGACAAAATAAAAACCAAAAGAACCTTTTCAATTCTCCACTAACGTTTTTCTTTGTGCCGAACTCTAAATTAGGAAAATGTTTAAATGTGCGTTGGTGTCGGCCAGTGTACGTCTGTGTGTGTGTGCGTGTGCGTGTGTGTGTGTGGGTAAACATAATTTGTGCGGCACGTGCGTTAAATTTAATGAGGCAACCGCGACCCACGAATCGAGCTCGATTTCGGACGCCTTTGACCCCGGGCTCTTGGTTTTTCACCGCTTCGTTTCTTGCGGCTCGTCGGAAAAAAGAGCAGCGAAAATCGCAGAAAACGTCCTGTTGATTTTGGGCCACCACACATAAAAAACCAACTATGTGTGTCTATATGCATAACATTATAGGCCATATACTCGCATCTGCGGGGCCTTTTGGCTTTTAAAGAAATTTAACTTATGTACGTGGTGTCCTCACTCGACCTCCTGGAAAGCTCGCAAGGATCTTACTTATGATTAAAGTGATGTATGGGAGCTCATTTCTGAGCTAATTGGAAATACGGTTTCCAGGTAGGCAGCAGCTAAAAAATGTTTTTATTCACGCTTGCTGCTCTTCGCAAATTAGCATTGTAAAGTTCGGTTTCAAGAAAAAGCCATTAGTGCTTTCCTTTCAGCTCATATTGTTTTCTTATTTTGAAGCTGTCTAAAAGTACGCAACGAAACTTTCAGCAAATTAAACTTGTTATATTAAGGCCTCAGTGACAGCTGTGCCACTACACTTGATGAGGCGCCTTTCTGGGGCTTACAAATTATTTTTAGGCCTGCGAAAAGCCCACTGAAACAATTTCCGATTAGCCTATAATGCGCTCTGGCCGGAACAGCTTTTAAAACCCAAATTAAAGTCTATCCGATAGGCTTTGTCTAATCCGGCAAAAGCTGAGGCATACAAAATTCTCTTTCATGTTTTATGGCAAGCAACAATGGCCTGTTTCCTCCCGTTTTCATTCAATTTAACGTGTCCTGCGAACTGCAAGCCTGTTGCACAGTCATGTGCCCATCAGAACGGCATTAAAGAGGCAGCCCATTGAGGGCTTGGTAGCCCGACCAACGGCCAATAAATTCTCGGCCAGGCAGTAATTAAGAAATTTAAATAGCGGCAACTAAACCGCCAACCGGACCTAAACAAACTGACCCCCGGACTCCTCGATGGCTAGGAGCATAAAAGCCCGGCCAGCATTTAAGCACACTCACACAATGCTTGTATGCTACACATACTTGTAGTGTCGTGCAGTCGCTTAGGTGCGAGCGCCACACTTTGTGCCCCACACGCCATCTAAATTTGGGGCAGCCGAGTGCCTGCGGTTGCAGAGTGTGAAATATTTTGCTGCCCCACACTTAATGTGTGTGCCATATCTCGTCTGGGGTCGGGATCTTCCGCATACTCACACATTGTCTAAATAAACAGGATGGCGGCCTGTGCCTCGGCATTTTCCGGCTCCAGCTCCCAGATTTTCCAGCGAGTTTCCACAGTTCCCGTCTGCTTGTGGCGATGCCTTTGCGATTCATTTGCCTGCATTATGTTGCGGCACTTGATTTAATGGCGGCTGACAGGAGCCTTTAATCACCCACCAACAAATGGGAAAGATTTGAATTCTACGCGTCGGGTAATCAGCAAGTAAACACTTGGAAGCCAGGAGCTGAGCGAATCTATAATGGCGACTAAGCTAGAAGTAAATTGTTACGAAAAAAGCTAACTTCTTATGAGTTAGTTCACAGCATGTTGGTTAGTTAAGTGAAACAGTGGAATACCCTAAAAAGTATTTATTCGCAATCAAACAAGTTATGTGTAGACTAGCAGAGTAGCTTAAAGGTTTTCCCCATACTTAATTGGTCATCTTCCATTTTCACTGAATTCGTGTGCTCAGCAATTAATCGCTTTCCAAGCTCGTGGGTGGATTTTGCATAGTGACCAATGGCAGTCCAAGATACATCTCTACCCATGCTGGGCGTTGACCTGGCCACCTGCAGCTGCAACTGCAGCTGGTGCGGGCTGAGGAACTACTCCTCCGGTCAGGGCGCCCAGGGATTGCTGCAGGGATCGCAGGATGCCAATGGGAATCTGAGGGCGGAGAAGCAAGATTATTCAATTTACAAGTTAAGCCATTAACCCTAGCAGCATATATTCGACTTTTCCCATTACGATTTAGTTGAATGCTTCTGCTTTCCGCTTTACAGCTGAACACTAGATATTTGTATACAAAATACATTTCGTGCTTTAATTATCAGTTAGCCATTAGTGGAAAACCATTTACTTTTGAGCATTCTTTTCAATTAAACACAGCCAGGATAAGCCGCGTCCTGCGCGACTTCGTACTTACATCGAGGGCCTGCCCCACGGTTCCGTGGGCCTGAGGTGCCAGGAAGCGATTGCTCACGGCCTGGGGTCGCTGGACGAACTTGTACTTGTGGGCCTGGACCACCTTGGCCTCGCTCCTCGTCTGCGAATGGAGGAGTTGGAGCAGTCGTGAGTGGGGCGTTACGTTCAAAGCACGGGGCGGGACATGCAGCAGGCGACGGGGGATAAATGAAAGTTGTATTAAAATATATTTCACGGAAATAATAATGCTGGGTAGCAGCTGACCCTCCCCCTCCCCCTCCCACGCCCGCAAATGTTTTCAAATAAAATTACGGCCACAAAGCGAAAGTTTCGGCATCCAGCTCCGCCAAAAAGCCAAACAATTTGTTTGCGCTTAGAGTGCCAAGGTGTGTGTGTGCCTGCGTGTGTGTGTGTGTGTGCCAGTGTGCGAGTATCTGTATCTGTATCCGCATCCGTATCTGTGTATCTATGTCCGCACCGCATTTGCTGTTACCTCAACGCTCGACTGCGGCTCGTCCTTTTGGGCTGCCTCCTCCGGAATTTGCTGCTCCTGCTGCTCCAGCTGCTGCTGCTGCGGCTGCTGCTGCTGCTGCATCACGTATACGACGCGTTGCCGCTGTCGTTGTCGCTTTGCATGTGCGCGTGGTCGCTTGACAATTATCAGCGGGGTGGGCGGCGCAGGTGGGCGGGGCACCGCATCGGCATCTGCGGCCGCTTTAACATGATTTTCAATGATTTCACTGCGGTCCGGCTAAAACATCAATGGCGGGTGGATTTGGTTGGATTGGATTGGATTGGATTGATTGCTTGTTTTCGGTTGGCCGACACGGGGGCGTTGATCAATATTTAACCGCACGCCCTAGTTAAATACTAGTCGGCGATTTATTGCCAGGAATTTCGCAATTGAAAAGCCGTAAAGCACCGAATTCCCTCTTCAATTTAACTAGGTTGGCGTACCAGCGAAATTATGTAGTTTTAATTTTGTGGGGAATCTTTTAAGCGCTCTTCGACTTCAAAGGCTGCGCAAAACTTTTGGGCAAAACACTTTTAATACTTTCGGAAGCGCTGTAAACATCTTGCTGCAATTTCGATAGCCATACTTCTAAACTTGTTCTTAAACTTATCTCGGGAATAAAACGTAAGCTGGCTGAGTCTTCCACTACCTTTCTTTATGTATAGATGGATGGGTTGGAAAACAAGCGGAGCTCTAACCAAATGCTGGCTTCAAAGCCATTTAAATTAGTTTATGAGTGTACCCTTACTGCCCTAACTAAGCACTATTGTTTCACATTGGATTTATTAAACTATACTCGTAGCTAGCTCGGCAAAAGCAACTAAGCACGGCCCTGAATTTATTTCAAAACGCGTTTTGAATGTTATGGACATGAATAATAAAGATGCAGACCATAGTACTCGTTCCTTGTATATGTTTGAGTAGCATTTACTTACATCTTGTCTGGTCAGCGAGTACTTCTTGGGTGGCTTGACCTTCTGGATGTGGCTGGTGACGACCGGACCGGCGGTTGGTGAAGCGGGCACAGGATCAGCAGGATATGCCGGCTGGTCTGTGTGCTGCGAGGAGGAAATCAGGCTGTGCCTCGGGCTGTGGGCCTCGGCTCCGATGTAGCCGTGCTCGCCGGCGCTGCCGCCCAGAAGGGCGCTGGCTCCCACCGAGGGATTGGCCTGGGCGGCGGCGTAGCCCACGCCGGCTGCTCGTCCTGCGGGAGAAGGGGTGGCGGTTTAACCGGGATGTAAATCGAATCAATTAGGAGTTGGGCTTACCATCCAGATTGCCGCCCAGACCGGCGGCTGCCCGGGAGCCCCACGGAGTTCCGGCCGAGGCGCTGAGTCCGCCGTGGGCAGAGTTGCCCGTCAGGAGTCCGCCGAGTCCCGCATCTGCGTGAAATCCTGCGAAATTCACGCCCACCTTGCCGTCGCGCAGCGTCAACAGCTGCGGGGGTGAAAATGTGGGCGCTTTAGCACAAAGTTCTGGCCACGTTGCGTATACTTAATGCTATTCAAAGTTGGCCGCGACCTTCGCGTTTCGCCCCCGGCCACCATTCGGCCCGGCCCAGGATGTTTTGTCCGCTCTTTTCACTAATAGTTGCAAAGTTGTTGCCCAACTTTGGCCGGCCCGGAAAAGCGGGCCAACACCCTTTGTGCCCGCCTAACCGAGTTTGTAAACATTTCTTGTGCTGCACTGTGTTAATCAATTTAAGCGGAATTTCTCGGCGGCTCAAATCGGTGAAGGTCGCCAGCTCTGCTGCGCAGATATTTGAACAACTCCGAAACACTGATAAACATTTGCACAGCTCGTTTGCCCGTCGTCACAGAGCAACGAAAACTAGAGTTTACAGAACTACAGATAAGCTGGCATTACACCCTGCTACAAAACAGCGATCCACTGATAGCACAGTTAGATAGTGGAGCTTTGGTAATGAGCACATGAGCAATGAGCGGGCCCAAAGAGTTATCAATAATTGTGTCACTTAACAGGCAGCTCAACAGACCCAGCAAATAAGTGCTTTGAAGTTTTACTATTTGCTATTAGGAACTATGAATACCCTGGCTTAATAGGGTAGTTAATATATCTAGTTATATTCATTGGGAACATATGTCCATACCTATCTTCCATGTATGATGTGTGTACTATCACTTTGGCAAGTGTAATTGCCACTTTGTTGCATACCACGCTGTGTGATTTCAATGCCACTTGTATTAGGTAACTGTCAGCCTGATATACCCCGCAACAGCAGTTGGTTAGAGTATCAGAGGTGTGCGACAATCGTGAATGGCCCGGCCAAGAGAGAGCCAGCTGGAGTGCCTATCACACCTGCCGCCGATAAGAGTTTTTCCAGGCGACACAATGGCAATATTTAACCTCTGACGGCAGCTCATTTGAGTTTCACACGCCGCTAGAGGAGGAGGCGGAGGTGGTGGCCAGCCCAGCATATCGAATCATCAAGAGCAGAATCCGAAAGGAGCGGGGCATCGTGGGCGAACACATGTTGCCATGTTGACAAGGGCGCGGACGTGGGAGTGGGAGCGGTTGCCAGCGATGCGGCTGCTGTGGCTGCTCTGTTTGCTAGCTGGTCAGGTGCTGCTCGGCAACGGCGCCTCGGTCACCTGGGGTCATGTCCACAAATACGCCAGCGTGCTGCACACCGAAGATGTTTACCTGCCGCCGGGCAGCCCCGGCCGAGATGTGGCCTACGGCTCGCAGGTGAGACCTACAGTGCGGCACTTGGCTGGCAAATTGCTTAATCTCCTTGGGAATCTCCGGCAGAATGGCAGCGATAACTACCGGATTACGGGCGTGCACGTCGAGGATCTCGGCGCGCAAGGAGCGGAGGCAGTCCTCACGGCTGGCGGCATTGGCCAGCAGTTTGTGGTCCTTCACTGCCGGCGACTTCGGGGCGCCGAGGAGCAGCCACAGGCGGCTCATCTCGAGGTGTCCATCTATGGGGTGGACTTATAGGCTGTTTGCTACTGGTGGGGGCAGTAATCCCCCATTGTTGTAAATATCAATTGGGGTGGAGAACTTTCAGCCTGAGTTAGTATATCTTAAGTAAACATGTGACTTCATGTAAAGTATCTGTAGGATGCGGATAGCATTATTTGAGCATCTGCAGCACTAAGCCTCCCACGCCAACCTATTCTAGTGCTATCTGTAGTGAAATCGAGCTGCTCAGATTGTATTTACTACCTACGCCCTACAGTCGCTATAGTAATGATGGGTTTGGGCTTTTTATCTGCTCTTTGGACTGAAAACTTTGCAACTGGCACTGAACAACGTAATCATATCTTAAGTTGGGAGTTGCCAGGGGTTGTGAAGTCGGATGTCGCTTATGACCTTATGGAAATGGGCCAAAACTATGTTGGTTTGTAACTTTTTCCTTATTTTTCCATGGCTGCCAGATGCACGGGCTTAAATTTATTTAATTGAAATGTAATAAGACCAACAAGTCGGAACGGACGTTATAATAAACTTCCCTCAAACAAAACATGAATTGTAAATCATGTGTGTGTTTCTGCGGTGAGCGAAATGAGTTGTGGGCTGTGTGGGCAAATTAACACAATAATTGATTTATTTTATTGTTCTGTAAACAACAAATGTAAATTAATCGTATGCATGTAGGTGTGCAGCGCTTTTGTTTGCTCTTCAAATCATTCTGAAATTTCAGCAGTTAGTAAATGTATTTACCATGGTTGCCATTTTGCTCGGATAAAAATCGCAATTGGCAGTAAAACACCGCAATTGTGTGCGGCTAATTCAAGTTGACAGTAATTGTGTTCTTGCGGCCGGGAGATTAAAGATTGGCCGCAGTTTCCAAAATTCATAAGCTCGGGTCATGACCCGCAGAGCTGAGCAAAGAAAGCAGTGAAAGGATTTCTTGCTGGAACCTGCGAAACGGAATGAATGGCCAGTAATTTGCATGAATTCCAGGGAAAGGCCGCCTTCGAGGCTGGCGAACAAAACCCTTCTCAGGACTTTTTACGTGTGCTCTTAATTTCGATTCCCACGACCCACGACCCGCACGAAAATAAACAACAGTTTTTCCGGGCTTTCCACTTAGCTGGCGAATGCAAATTTCATGCATGCGTTGATTAAAATCTAAGCTCTTGTGGCCCTCGGGCCGCAAATAGAAATAAACTTTTGAGCCAGAAAAAATCTCAACAAAACAGAACAAGAGATGAAGGCGACTTGAAATATTATACGCAGCAAGGTGTGCAAATTCCTTTGGCCAACAGAGTTTACCAAAAAATACAAGCAGCGAACAACTGAAAACATTTGGCTGCAACTAAATCAAGTCAGCTTGGCACACACATTTAAACAGGATTCCCACATATTTTTGATTACCTGTTTAATGAGCCCACGAACTAATGAAATAGAAGCCATTGAACACGATATTTGCGCCTTAAGCCTTTAATTACCTCGTGTGCAACACGGCGTATGAGTAATCGCTGCTGAAAAGTGCAATTAAATTGATATTAGGTAGTCAGTCCAGGCCGCCAGAGTTCAAGGTGGCCACTAAAGCGCCAACGACTTCGTGGCCATTAAAATGATGCATAGTAGTTGGTCGTAGTTTTAGTGATAAGCTCAAGTGTTGAGGCGAGTATACCGTGTAATTGCAGGTAATCCCGCCGGGCGTTTTCGCCTTGGTCCGCAATTAAAGACGGAATCGCGCACTAAAATTCTTAATTGCCGGTCGACGGGCATTGTGCAAAGGTTTGGGCAATGCGGCAAATGTTGCACTTTGACCTTCTCCCTCCAGCAAAACAAAATCATCGTCGGCCATTGAAAATGGCATTGATTTTCGCACTCAGCCCCCGATGGACAGCCATTCTAATTTGGTCTCACATTTCGAGTAATCGCGCTGAAAGCCGGAAAGTGGGACGCAGGCATGAAAATCACATTTCAGGGCTTCACTTTCGCAAATCAAAATTGCGACAATGCCACACTGAGCACTGAGTGTTTTTAAACATCTAGAAATTACTAAATGTACTTGTAGCACGACATGAAATGTACCCCACTAAATCGAGAGTATCTTCCTTTAGTCACACTGTCATTATTTCTGGCTCAAAATATGCAACTCATCGATTGATCTATTAATTAAGTTAATGAATTCACTGTCTGTTTGGCTGATTGATGCAATATTAGTGGGGCAGCTGGCCAGCAGTTTGGTCCCCGAAAACCGACGGACTGCCTGGTAATTACGTTGATTTCAAACCGCACTTGGCCAACAATGCAGCTCGGTTTCTGACTCGGATTTAGTGGCAGGTGGCATGTGGCAGGTGTCAGGCTGTCGCCGCCTTAATTAATTTCGGACTCACCTGTGCCGGCACCAAGCTGCCCGCCTGCAGCAGACAGAGGACTCCGAGTAAGACGAACATACTGCGCACCTGGAAGACAAGAATCCAAAGTCGCCATCAGTTCCACCTTCTGATCCGCTTCTGTATGCCAGTCGCGTCTGCGAACATTCTTGCTCGCACTTTTCGCTGGGAGCGGCTCAGCATAATTGCGCGGCTTTCGACTTGCTGATCAATTATTAATTAACAAAGCCGTACCTTTCCTAGACTATTGTCTTGAGTTACTTCACTTGGCGAGTCCGAGCTGCGCGTTGTTGACGCGACGCGTTTCGGATGTGAACTGAGTGGTCGAGCGGCTCGAGTCGGGCTTAAACTTGAATTCTGGCGCGGGGAGTGGGCAGCGGGAGCTGGACTGCGGCTTGTAATGGCTCGCCAAACTGGAAATGTGTCGCACTCAGCAGGCAGGGTCTATTTATATAGGATTCTGGCTGCTTCCTCTTGCCTGGCTGGCATATAGCAATGGGCCATTATCTTGGGAAGCGAGTCACTGTAACCGGGAACGCTGGACGCTGCAATGATGATGCAAGATTTTCGGAAACTTCCAGCCACACTTGGCTTCGGCGACCTATTAGCACCTGTCTCAACAGCTCGGTGAGAATTTGGCAACAACTCAGGCACGACGCGTTGTTTTGTGGTCAGAAATTAGAAGAACCACCAGGTTTTGAGCGTTTGAGTCAAAACTCCTGAGTGATCTTGCGCATTTATTCATCTCTGTGTCTTACACACACAATTTTTAGAAATGCATAAATTAGAAAGCGATCTTACGTGTATGTAAAATGCCCAATAGAAAAGGCTTAAACGAAGGCAGGGACTGAGCTGAACTTCTCAAGCTGTCGATTACAGAACACAGTTCACTGCCATGCGCAATCACTTAAACCTCGGAGATAATCAAACTAAGTCAACTTCAGATTTTCCACGCCTAGCGCCAGTAGCACGCAAACAAACAATGGCTGGAAAACTACGGCATTACTCATGGGCCGCATTGAAGTGCATCCGATTTGGCCAATATTTGCGAACCGGTTGTGGGCCTTTTGGTTTGCTTTTAAAGCGGTGTGCAATTGCCTGAATTTGGGCCATAAACTAGGTTTTTGGTTTCATTTTGCACCACGCTTCAACGGAGCTGCAGGCAAATGGGGCTTGCCAATTGCAGCCGGGCAAGTTAATAAGAGTTGAATGGTCGGGCTTTTGGCCATTATAGATGTTGGATGTGCTCCGCTTGTGGGGTTTCTCCAGTTCGCCTCGCTGCCCATACGTTTCCAATAGAACCCAAGCCCTCCTCTTTGCTCCAGCGATTTGTTCATTAGGTATTCAAATGACAAACAGAGCCGCCTGTTTAATGCGATTCTGCCTCCGACTCCCACTTCTGGCCAAATCCGAGGCGCACGTGCTGGATAATTTGGAATGCCAGGCGATGGCCGAAATCAAAAGGCAACGAAAAGGGTCCGATAAGAAATATAATTAAATTCAATTCAGTGCCTGTCCCTTGCAACACGCATGATTAGTTCGGCAAAGTCGTTGGCTAACAAAAAATCACTCGATGTTCTTTTCATCCTCTGCCCAATTCCCATTAATTACGCGGGCGTTCTTTGCCTAATTGAAATTTCATTAAAAGTAAATCAATTCACTTACTGCAGCCGCGTAGGTGAGCCTATGAATTCAATTCCAGGAAGTGGCATTGCTCGCCGCTCTGCGATAACCTTTTCATAATGCTCAATCGATTGGGAAGTGGTGATATGCGTTTATTGACTCGCCATCGGTCATCATATCTGCCAAATCCCGAAAAAAGCAATATTTTAATTGAGTGCCATTGAACAGCGAATGCTTGCATCAATGAAATAACAGATATCAGTTTCCGTCGACGTATGCAAATCCGCATGAAGAGATTAAACATTTTGCTGACCGGGCCAAAAGTATGCAAGGTTTTTACAATGCACGTTGGCGAAAAATCCTAACTACGTTCATATTTTATAGAGCGCCCTTGGGCTGTATTCAATTCATTTTGGATTGTAAACAATTGTCTGCCGCTTTGGCGCTTAAAAACTAATGGGAACTTTTAGTTCTTAGTTCGGCAAATGCCGATTGTTATGTTCAAAGCTAATGGCTGTTTGCTGCAATAACACTCCACACATTTACTTGCAAGTAAATCTTTAATGGCAAAAATACGAACGTTTAGAAATAGCATTTATTCCACATACTTGTATATTTTCTTTTGGAATTTTCTTGTGGATGGACATAAATATCCTTAGTCTAGGCTTACAGCAAGTCACATATATCACAAAGGTCACAATGCACACGAACATACACTGACAGAAACTACAACATTCACGCACAACTACTGGCTAAGGTGGGCCCAGGATTACGCCATCTCCTCGCGCATCTGTGGGCCACTGGAATGGCCACTCGGCGTGGGACCTTGCCTGCCGGGCGGCAGCGCCGTTCCAGCTGCCACGGATTTTTGCGCCACTTCCGCCGGCGCCTGTCGGTAGCCGCCGGTCAGGCGACCCACCAGATTGTTGACAGCACGCAGCGTCGAAATCGGAATCTGCGGAGGATGCGGATTAGCTGCTGTGCTACTGTACCGGCCGGAGCCGCCGAACTCACCTCGAAAATGCTGTCGATCAGGGGGCGCAGGCTGAACATGGGGTATGTGCTCTCGGCCGCGTGAGCCGGTTGGCTATCGCCGAGGGCCAAAATGGCCGCATTGCCTCCGGGCGCCGCTGCGCCCGCTGCAGCTGCTCCATTTCCGGGACTCACTCCCGCCGCCAAGCTGCTCAGCAGGAAGGCGGCGTTCTGCTGCAGGCTGCTCATGGCTCCCATGGAGGGGGAGGATCGCTGCTGGTACTGGCCGTACTCCTGGCTGGGGTAGAGCACCATGTTCTGGACGGGCATGGGCTGCAGCAGCGTCTGCAACGATACCAAAGGCCATTTAATTTAAATATTCATTGAGCTACTGCATCAAAATGAAACTGCACACATTTTTGGATGAGTATTTCCACTGAGTGCCAGTTGCTGCGCATTTGAATAAGCGGAGATCAGGTTTCGGTACTCACATCGTTCAGCAGCACCAACTCGTGGCGCTGGCCACGCGCGTATCCAGAGACGCGGGTGAACTCGGTGACCAGGTGGGACATGACCACGAGCAGGACAAACCAGACGAAGCGGTCCATGGCGGTGATGATGATCTGGAAGAGAAGAGGCGTGGCAAGCGTCATAAAAGGAGATCCAACAGAGTCACCTCCAACTGCGGCCCCACATCGTTGTTGAAGCGCATGCTGGCAACACATTGATCTTGGCAATCCGCACTTGAGCGGCACTTGTTTGGTGCGCCGCGGACGAAAACGTAGTGAGTTGCAAAGTCAAGTTGCACGAATGCAGCGGCTGGGTTTTCACTCTGGCCAGCAGCCATGGCTGAAACGTAGGCCAAGCAGTCGCGTATCGAGTTTGGAAACCGCAGTCGAGATCTGCTGCCGCGACAGAATCTGCTGCCTGTTCTGAGCTGCGATGTGTCTGCGATGTGGATTAGACCAAGGCCGGGCAACCAGTTTGCGTTTCCAGCTGGATGCAGCGAGTTTTTCCACTTGGCAGTGAGTGAATTTTCCCGCTCCGAGCATTTCGAAAGCCGTCCGTCCAAGGCGAAAGGTTAAGTCAGCGGACTGCGGACTGCGGCCCCGCATTTAGTTACGAAAATAGAGCCAAGCCATCCATCAATGGCCGTCTGGGCTTGTGTTTGCTTTTGGGTTGTCTGGCTGGCTAGTAATTCGTAAAACAGCAATCAAAAATGGCAACATAAAAGCAGCAAGTGCAGAGCAGGTCAAAAGCAGCTCCACCGGGCCATGACACTCCACCACTTTGGCAAGGGGGGCTGAGCAGTTGACCAGTTAACCCTGCAGTTGCTGTTGTCTAATTGTGGCTCGAATGGCATTTAAGCGAAGCAGAGATTCTGCGGCAGCCCTGACACAAATGCAGCCGCCTAATTAAACAAATAATTGAACAAATCTCAGCCGTGACCCTTGCTGGCCAAAGATTCTGTTGGCTTTGTACTTGAACACATCAATAAGGGCTTTCGTGTTCGCTGGACTTGAACAAGAGAAATACATTTTTTAGAGAATATTTCGTTCGGTTGGCATAATCATGCGCATATCAATTGGAGCTGATATTTGTCATACATTTATTTATTTACTCTTTAAATGCTCACAAATTTATGCGAAAAGTGCGGGGGAAATGTATTGAAAATTGCTTAGATATTCCATACAATTACCACATTTTTATGTCCATTTAAAATGCAAATAGACATAGGCTTGCAAAACGAAAATTCTGGCCATTTCAGTCAACAAATTGAGAGATTTTGGCACAGAACCGTACGTGCAATTAAAATAACGTAAAAACTATTCCCAGCAATATAAATTACAGGGCCAAAACTCAAGGACTCGAGTGGTGTCCTTTTTGATGCATTCCACACCCACTGGCTTAGTGAATTGTGCGTAAGAATGTGAGCTTCCATTTGCATGACAAAAACCCAACGAAATACTCGAAATAAAGGACACAAAACGGGGGTGTAGGAATAGTTGTCCGAAGCCAGACCTGAATGCGGGATTTTATTGTGCCCCATGCATTTACATTTTGCAATGCAAATTGAATCTGTTTGCAGCTGGCCAAGTTGAATTACGGTCAGCCAACTCTGCAGACTCGGCCAAAAAAAGCATTTGCTCGCCGAGACGTTTCCGTTTGCATACGAGATACGAGGCGTATGCGTGATATCTCGACGACCAGTCGACAACCAGTATCACGCATACGCCCCGATGTCTCGTAATTGTTGCCATCGATAGCACAGCACCGCACACAAATCTGTGCCACCGAATCTCTGTTGACTTGGGCGCGCAAAATCTTTTTGTTATTCTTACTCAAAATTTTCGGGCAAATATTGGGCGAGCAAACAGAAGTCTAAGCGTGCGGCAGGCAAACAAAGGCGCACATTTGGCGGGGGCGTGGCCAAATGGCAGGACACACACATATGCATGTATGCATGTATTCAAAAAGAAGATTGAATTTACGAAAATAAGCAGAGTGTACTTCGGGCGGCAGTCCACGAACTTCTTGTTTGTCCGCAGCCAATAAGCGTTAATTACTTTGCCAACAAAGTGGGCTGCAGCGCATGGGGATGGCAGGTGGCAGGTGGCAAGTGGCAGGTGGCAGGTTGTAGGTGGCAACTAGCGTCTTCCTCCTCGCCACTCGAGCTTAATTATAGTTTCGGTTGCATATTAGTAGGCGAGGGCATTACACCATCTCATTTAACTTTGCTAATGAGGTAACCGCAGCAGCTCGCTTGGCCATCTGAGTGATTTGTATTGAAAGCCGCAAGGAGCCCAAAGCGCTTCCTAATTGGCCACTAAATGCAGTGGTTGAATATACAATTAAATCACTCTTATTTTGTTAGGCAAAAGAATAGGCCCTTAGACTTGTTCTGATGTTTAATCCATAAGTTTTTGGAGAACAAAACCTCCGTGAATTGAATAATTGGATTTGGCTCTTTTCGTTTTGACTACTTTAACGTTTTCCAGTCTGTTTTCCACTCCACTGCTACTGCCACTGACCGGTTTTTTTCGTTTTGTTCTTCTTTCTGTTATTTGATTTCCTGAAATTTCACTCATAATTAGCCACATTATTATTATTATTTCTTTATAATTTGCATTTGATTTTGTTTCAGCCTCTGTTTCGTTTCTTATTCGTTTTGCCCGCAGGGCGGCTCAACGAATCGGGATATTTGTTGTTTGCGTTTTACTGTTGCTTTCTTTAAGCTTTTGGCCGCCAGCTGTTTGCCCGCCAAAATGAATACTAATTTATTCTAATCATCTCAAATCCAATATTGCGCCAGGTTCTGGGCGCTGCAAGCCCTTATCCGACAGCAGGAACGAGTTTTCCCCGAAAGCATTCTGCGCCCTAATTGTTTTCATTGATTATTAATTTGGATATTCTCGCTCCGGACGGCAATTCTGACCTGGCGTAAATGGGGCTTTTGTTTCGCAATTACGGGGAAGCCGGGCATTCAGATCCAGATTTGTTTGCTCGACTTTTTGCCGGTGCTCTTCGGTTCCCTGGTTCCCTGGTTTCTTTGGTTTCCCTGGTTTCTGCCTGCTGGCTTTTGACTTTCCCGCTGTTCTGCTGTTCTGCTGTTCTGAAGAGCGGTCTCGAGTGCCGAGCAATAGTTTCGCTTGTTTGGCCTGGGCTCGCTTTTAATGAGCCAGCACTAATTAGCAGCCAGTTTCGGAGTGCCACTCGTCGGAATCAGCATCAGAGAATCAGCCAGAATCAAAAGTAGACTCATAATGGGCGCATTCCATCTGTACTGCTGACTTTGGCTTATTTTTTGGCGAAGCAGGAACTCACCTCGTTTGTGATGTAGAGGCCGCGCTGCGGCGTCGTCGTTGTGGTTCGCATCGTCAATTTGGCAGTGATTTCCAGTCGGTGTTCCCTTTTAAGGCAGAACTTATCACCGGACGAAGTGTTCTTCTCGAGTGCAGCTGCGCGACTGGGGAAAACGCGCAGCGCATGCGCCGCTTTTATAGCTTACGGTCGTCTGTTACAAGAAGAGAGCAACAGCCCATCTGCTCTCATGCACTGCAATGTAAAAGTTTGCACTTGAGTGCGAGCTTAACAGGTTGCATGTGCATGCGAATGCAATGCGGGTGCGAGGGAGAAAGTGCACTTCTTTCACTCTCAGCCTCTCCGCTGTTCATGTAACAGAGGAAGAGATCGCTCGTTCTGTTACAATATAGCAAAATTGCAATGTGTACGTTAGCTGATGCAAAAGAGAAAGGAGGGAGCAATAACTACTTTCGTTGTACTCTGTTATTTTTTTTATAGAGCACGGTCTTCTGTTACAAGAAGAGAGCAACAGCCCATCTGCTCTCATGCACTGCAATGTAAATGTTTGCACTTGAGTGCGAGTGGGGAGAGGGGTGCAAGGGAGAAAGTGCACTTCTTTCACTCTCAGCCTCTCCGCTGTTCATGTAACAGAGGAAGAGATCGCTCGTTCTGTTACAATATAGCAAAAATGCAATGTGTACGTTAGCTGATGCAAAAGAGAAAGGAGAGAGCTATGACTACTTTCGTTGTACTCTGTTCTTTTTTTTATACAGCACGGTCTTCTGTTACAAGAAGAGAGCAACAGCCCATCTGCTCTCATGCACTGTAAATGTTTGCACTTGAGTGCGAGTGGGGAGAGGGGTGCGAGGGAGAAAGTGCACTTCTTTCACTCTCTGCCTCTCCGCTGTTCATGTAACAGAGGAAGAGATCGCTCGTTCTGTTACAATATCAGCAAAACTGCAATGTGTACGTTAGCTGATGCAAAAGAGAAAGGAGAGAGCTATGACTACTTTCGTTGTACTCTGTTATTTTTTTTATAGAGCACGGTCTTCTGTTACAAGAAGAGAGCAACAGCCCATCTGCTCTCATGCACTGTAAATGTTTGCACTTGAGTGCGAGTGGGGAGAGGGGTGCGAGGGAGAAAGTGCACTTCTTTCACTCTCTGCCTCTCCGCTGTTCATGTAACAGAGGAAGAGATCGCTCGTTCTGTTACAATATCAGCAAAACTGCAATGTGTACGTTAGCTGATGCAAAAGAGAAAGGAGGGAGCAATAACTACTTTCGTTGTGCTCTTTTCTGTACAGTGTTCTGAATGGCCTATTGGTTATATTACTTGAAAACAACAAAATAAACAACTTGTTTCCCTCGTTCAAGTGAGAGGCATACAAATTTAATTTCACTGGAGTGATGAGAATTCAGCACTACAATGTTGAGACATTGACCATGTGAGACTGTGCAAATCGCATGAAGAGAGAGAAAGAGAGTTGTGAATTTCTTTCTGTGCGCAGCTTTCTCAGCATCTGCCGCTGGTAACTGCAAACGGGTTCGAGGAAAAGTGGACCGCCTACTTTCAGTGTAATTGTCGGCCTGACCCACATACTCGCGCCCTCTCGCTCGCACCCAATGCCAAGCAGTAGGCGACTGCAGTTCAGTGAACCCGTGCCCGCCTATCTATACCTCGTAGTCCCAGATGTCAATGGCTGCGGATCAGTGAAGCCACCGCATCACGGCAAGTGGCTCACCTCAACTGTCTGACCGAGTTTCGATCCCAGACCAGGTATCGTTGCCCCACCGTTTCGGCCATCAAAGGTTTATGGCTTTGAGCCGGAGAGGAGTTGGGTGCACAAGGAAACTGCACCTGGGATCCACCGGAACCGCCTTGAACTCAACTCCCTGCGAGAACCGGATATGGAGAATATATGTAGATAAGAGTGCCAACAAGGAACACGTAAAGCCATAAAATATTGGAATAACGAATACCATTTTGTATTTTTTGTTTAAGTAAACGATAAACTCGGATCAATACAACCCAAACTATGTATATGACGGATGTTGAATAATGATCACCAACAAATTCGGCCAGAAATAGAATCAAACGTGAAACAAGTTCAGTAAATTCGGCAAGAAACTGTATCTACGAAGGCTAATTTGCATAAATCTGCATCAATACGTATAATTTGTGTTCTGCGGTCGGAGGCTTAGCAATAAACAATATTTATTCCCGCACAATCAATCACTTAAGCTAACAGGGAAATAAACTTACAGCGCTATTCGTCTCTATCATCTTTCCGCTCAAGTCGCAGATCGTGCGATTGTCTATTTCTTAGACTAAACCTGTTTCGATTATGCCTGATCTACCCCAATAAAAGGCGATTTGACGGCAGACAAATCACTTGCGCGCGATGGTTTCAATTGGCCAATTAATAATGCCTGACAAAGGTCGGCAGGACCTTTGCCCCGTGCCATGACTGTGCCTCAGTCATCCGCGTAATTGTTTGCTGGTCTACTTATGCATACATTACTAATCCGACGCACAGCTCAGCAAGTCACGTGTAGCCCCCACTCTTAGCCTCCACTGCTTAATTTATTTCCCATTCCGTATGCCGTTTTCGAGTGCCGCTTTCGTGGACGTAACCTTCCCACCTCTGGAAAACTGAATTAAGTCGCTGCACTGGCAGAAATGCACTTTAATTGCGCAAATAGGCGTCACGAAGATGGCTCCTCAGTGCCAAACCTAATTGGGCATAAGTTCCGCACTGAAATGAAATTACTTTCAAATCCATTGGTTCTCACTTGGGTTGTTATTTCGGTGTAGCTAGCTCGGCAATGATGCATTGAACCTGGCAGTGAATCACGCTGAACCGGCTGCGCCCTTAGGAGCACCTCACCTCGAGCTCCCTGTACAGTTTGCACTGGCTAAATACAAACATTTGAGGTGGCGCGTTGGGGCGGGGGTGGGGGCGTAACTGCGAGATTTTCGCACACTTGATAAGCAGACAGGGCTACGAGTATTTGAATGCGCCTTTTATCCCGGCCAATCAATATTTGTCTGCCAATTTTACAAATTGCAAGCAAACACATCAAGCCGGGCCCAAATGCAGGCTCGCAGCAGCTATTGACCCTCAACTTGAACTAGAAAACCAAATAGCCGGGCGGTTCGCAAAGCGTTAAATTGAACTGTATGACCAGCGACCCCCTTCCCCCCTTCCCATGTTTCGGAGCACCATTTGTTGTTGGCCGCTGACAATGCATAAAATTTGAATAGCCAAACAACGATGCTCGGCAACAACAACAAGGCAACACAACAAAGCAACAAAGCAACAATCAAATTTGGCGCTCAACGATTCTTGCACCTCTTTTATGGCTGGCTGGCCACACTTATGTATGTGTTTCAAATTCAAGCTGGACTTTATAATGGGTGTCAGCTGTTGGCATCAGGGGCTCGCGAAGGGGTTCATCCAGAAGGGGGTTTGCTAAGTGAGTTAATTTCAGTCATTGAGGTGGCCTAAAACTATGTCAAGCAAAAACTGTAACAGAAAAAAAAGATGTCTTTGAGAAAATATAAAGATTAATGTTTGGCACCAAACATACCCTTTAGGAGCAGAGATTAATAATAATATATTAAATATATTAAATATATGGGAAATGCCCCAGAATGCAGAAGTTAGCCCCCCTTTTGCGAGCCCCTGGCTGACATTGCTCAGGGTCACGGAGTAACAGTACAAGCCGATGCCAATCAGCATGGCGAAAGAGCGAGCGAAAGGGCGCGCGCGTGCGAGCGAGAGGGCCCTGACTTCGCTTGGGGTTACCGACACTCACACACGCCCATAAAAAACACACTACCGTTCTGTAAGCGCGATTGCCGGATTTTGCTTTAATTTCATTACGCGTTTTTCTCGCTTTCGCTGTTTGTTTGGATCGCGGCTCTTGGCCTTTTGTTTTCCGCTTTCGGCGTGGGCTTCGATATTGTTTTTGTACGTGACCTCTTGGCGGAAAGAGTCGGTTGATATTTGTATATTTTTAGCGTGCCCTCCCCACCGCACCCCACCCCACCCCTCCACGAACAAGAAAAGAGTAGTACGAAATAAAATAAGAAACGAACACGTGCAGATAAACGCTACTAGAGATACTCATAGCAATAACCACATATTTTCGCTTTCCACTTTGATTATTTGCTTAGCGGCTTCGGCGTTTGTTGTTGTTTATGTTTGCTCATGTATACAGATACAGATATACATGCATATGCACATAGGTACTATTTGCCATGCTAACGTGTTCCCCACCCCCGGACGGATTTGATTTAATTACAGGCCAAGTTTGTTATTGTTTCGAGTGGCGGCGGTTAGCTAACCCGTAATTGAGATAATACGCCAAGTGCTCTGGAGAAATGAACAAGGTTCATTCGCAGAGTTTAGCTGCAATTAAAGAGGGCTCAACGAGCTATCGTTAATCAGGCGGCTAATTAAAGCCAAAAGCAGCCACCTTCGCATCGGAATTGAATAAGCCCGCAGGATAGAGTATCGCACACACTCGACGCCAATAAAATCGGTTTAATTAATTCGCTTTGTTTCGATTGCCTGGTAAAAGGCGATATTGTTTGTTTGTTTCTTCTACTACTTAGAACGAATCCCATTTGCATTCTACTATGGTCACTGTGTTTTGGTATACTCGTAAACATGAAATGGAAACCTTTAGCAGCCAACACGAATTCAAGTGGTTCATGAAATGCATTCACTTTAAATTCATTCACACCTTACATTTAATTAAATCTGCCAGAAAGGAGTTCACTAAGGCGTTAAATGAGAGAAATAAAAGCGACTGCATTTATTAATATAAATTCGGCGTATAATTTAATTGGGCGAACGTGTGTTGACCCCTTGGTTCTATAAAATACAATTTAGCATCGTAATAAAAACTTGTAATCACTTAACGCAATTTACATTCCAAAAAACTGCATTTTATATCATATGAAATTAGCAAATTATTGCTTGATGGGAATTGCGATTCTAATGGCTTCATTTTGGAATTTTAAATTTAAAAGTTCAAGAAAGAACTGAAAACAAACTGTGTACTGTATCTTTTTTCAAATAATTAGCAACCCGCTGGGAACCAAAGTCATTAGTGTGTCTTAACATACAATCGAAATTAGACAATTGCTCATTCGGTTTTGGGGCCTCATTAATAATATAACTTTATCTCCTCTGCCTTTTTCTCAGAAACTAAGCCATGGGGTTCCCAAAGCTCCCAGCCATAAGTATAAGTAGGATTATAGGTACGGGTAGACCTATGTCACCTATGTGACGCGGAGTCCAAGTCTACGTGACACGGACCACGGCCCAGAATGTAGAACTAATCTTGATTCATTCGGAGCCGACTAAAAGCTCCATATGAATGCAGCTGGGCGTGCGCAGTGACGCAGATCCACTGACGTGTCGCTATATATAGCTTGATATCGTTCAGTTGGCCAAAAATACAAAAATACTTAGCCGTTTCCGCTGCATACTGGGTATCTGAGTGACGCGCGGCGCTTTAAATACCCTTGAATACATTGTAAGCGAGACGATCGATGGGAGTACGCATAAATTAGACAGCTGAGCGGCTGCTTTCGTTTCGCAGACGGAACAACTTACGTAATTCGACACGCACATAATTAATTAGAAGCGCAAACATTTTTCAGTGCCCCAACTGGCGGCCAAACAAAAGCAAAAGTTCTTAGCTCCAAACAAATGCAAATGAGCTGGGCTACGACTGAGTCACCTCCGAGTGTGTGAATACGAGCGACTCACTCGCTGTTGCGAATATTCAGATAAGCAGACGCAGATTCAGATTCAGATACAGATACGTGCGAGTATGGCGAGTATGGTATCTCGTATCTGCCAGAAGCTTAGAACCTGAAAGGAAAACTCGCACATGGCTGATTAATCAGACTGCTGGGCCCAGAATAAAACCTGAATCGGAGGTTCGACCACTATGTGAATCCACTTAAACCCTCCGCGATGATCGCAATCAGCAAAATAAATATGTTCTGTGTCTTGTATCGTTGGGACCATATATCAAACACTTTAGCAGTCGTTGGCCATCAGCATGGTTTGCTTTGGCACTTGGATGCCCTGCTGCCCAGTGATATAATACAATTGTTTGGGAAACCAATCGATGGAGTCACAGAAACCTGAGGGCATATATTATAGCACCAGCGCTCTGGCCAAGCTTCTAATTGAAATATAATTCAATAAATTATACAAATTGTCCGATATAGCTGAGCATATACACAAACATTTGTTTAGCAGAAACATATTGCTCTCAGACCACTAAACAAATGCTATGTTTACAAATGATTATATGTCGGCATACCTCGGCCAGTTTTGAGCTTAAGTTGAAGAATAAATTTGTAAATAATTTTCCACTTTTCCCCAAATATGCCCCACTTACATTCCATAAAGTTGTTAGCCCCAAAGTTAGTTTAGCATAGTTGTATTTACTTTAAGAACTCGTACCTGACTTTGCTCACATATTGTTTTTGGGAATTTATTAAGTTTGCAACTACGAGATTCGCAAAAGACTCACAGGCTTTGTTTAAAGTTTGCATTTGTGCAACTTTCACAGACAATAACCGAATCTCGAATGCGAACAGGTTGCGTGAATGCAGCCCGACAAAGGCAGAAGTTTCTTGTAATTTGAGCAATATTAAATAGACCGCAAACCATTTAGTTTAATGGAATTTCGCCCAGAACGCGGTGTGGCAACTGGCCTTTACCTTATCCAGCTGACTGCGCCGCTCAATCATTTTGGCCACTCAATCGATTGACACACTCTCGACTTGAGGTATTCCAGCCACTTTTCACTCGCGACCACTCACACTTGACTAACTATTTGCTCGACTAATTTCCGCCTAATCGCGAAACTTCTTTTCTCTGGCCACTTTTGCTTTTATCTGCTCCTCTTTTTTTGGCCAATTCTGTGGCGGAATCGAAGTGCTCGACTGTAGAACGCCGACCGCTCGAAGGCAACCGTCTCGTGTTGTATGAAATTCGCAACTGAACTGAGCTGAGCTGAGCACTTAAGAGACTCTTACCCGCCACTAGAGACCCAGACCCCGCACCCCGCACCCGCGGATCTCCGTTCCGAGCCACAATATACAAGCCTGGCTCTCGAGCGCTGGCCAATTCAAGCCGGCAACGAAGCGTCTCACGTTTTGTTTTCTTCTTATTAAATTCCATTTTGCGTTTTCTGCTTCTTCGCAGCGGCGAGAGGGTTGCCAGGCGAGTTTCTCGGCTTCGTTGGCGCCTAACGTGTTTGCTCCGGGCTCTCGGAAGGGTGGAGGTAACTGGGGAGCTGTGGAGCTGGGGAGCTGGAGCTGGGGGCTAAGTAGCCGAGCACGTAGCTCAGCTGTTCTGCGTGCGCGCTGCGCGTGCGCAGATCAAACCCTTTCGCAAGTCGACTGGAATAGAGTGATACGCACTCGCTGATACCCTGCGCAAAGTAAATGCTATGCATTCGAAAGCTGCCACTTCGATTGCCATACAGAATACTTGGTTAGCAGTGCACAAGTAGTTCAAAGCCACTATTTTCAATATTTCAGAAATTATTTAAGTAGCAGTCTGCCTAAAACTTGCCACACAAAAATAGCTAACATTTTCTCAAAGGTTAGGGATCTCAAAGCTGGAGGTAGGGTATCCACCAATCGGTGCACTCGTCTGCTTTTGTTTAATACGCTTGCGCTTACTCTGGTCGAGTGGTGCGAAAAGGCAACACTTGGCCCAAACCGACTGACTGACTGACTGACTGATTAGTTGTCGTTGGCTATTTGCTGTTTGGATGTGTTCGAGCTGCCCAGCCTCGTGAGTAATTCAATTTTATAAGCAAGCACTCGCAATGGTGGGCTGGTCTGCGACTGGGGCATTGACGTTTGTTTGGTTTGGGCAGCCGGTTGGGAGCTTTCCTTTCCGCATATGCGGCAATCAATTCGCCGTGCAGCGCGAATCGCAGACTGCAACTGTGGCTGGGGCACACCACTTTCACCTGGTCCACGGGGCGGATGAGTGAGCTGCATCACTCATACGCCGCGTGGCCCGCTGGGAGGTGGGTGCGAGTGTAGGTAGCTTACCCTGTTTGCAATTGGTTCACACTTGACTTGGCTGCTGGCGATAGTGTTCGCTATTTGACCTGTTTCTTGGTCCACAAAATTCACGCAACTGGCATTCACACGAGCGAGCGTATTGTTATTTATGCCAAAATAGGGAAATTACTGGCGAAATTTATTGATATTTATTGAACCAGCGATTAAATTGCTTGCCACCCATGCTGCGTGTGAATCAGAGTGTGACGAAAGCATTTGACCAAAAACCAATCGCTAATGATTCTGGGCGAGATGCGGCGGCTTCCTCGAAATCAAATTTGATTTTAATTTGCGCCCAGAATCTATGCATTCCGAATTTCGAAGTGGAGCGGAGGACAATAATTGGTCCAGGACGCGTACGTGATCCTGTTGCGGAAGTAGGTTCGCCTGTGGTTCCCGGAAATGTTTGAATAAACCGAGAATTCCGGGGACTGAATGGCTCACGCAGATGGATGCCATTGGGCGGAGGAGATTTCGGCACACACGTGAAGCCATTTGGCATCTCAATTATGGTCAGTTGTGCGTGGGCTCCCCATTTCGCTCCCCATCCTTGCTAGCTGGCCTCAATCAGCAAGGTTATCTTAAATGAATACACTCCAGTGCGAGCTCATCAGCTTTATCCCGAATATTTCGGTCCGAAAATGAATGAAAACAAATAGGGTGTCTCGACTAACCGATACTCTACAACGTGAGATATGTAACTGCTATACTGGCACACTGTGGAGCAATGCGCTTCAGCTTATGCTTATTGGCTTGTGTAGCAGTATACCCCAGAAACGCATTTAGCCAGGTAATGCACGGCTGAAATGTGCCAAGTATGAGGTAAGCTTATGCTGCTTTTGGTTTCTGGCCTGGCTCGCAGTGCCTCTCCAGCTGCAATTGTGCCAATCTCGTGCACTACGCTTCAAGTTCACTGTACTTTACAGCACGCAGCTTTTAATCACAGCCAGCAGTGACCTTAAGCCCCGACTTCATCTGATCTTGGGTTGTGAGTAGTTGGGTTTGGTTGGGTTTGGGTTACGGCATTGGCGGGCATTTACTCCAGTGTGCTTGCTAGGGGCAAGCGAAATCAGTGGGCCAAGTGATAGAATGGATCGATTAACTAATTCGGGCCATTCAATTGCTTTTACCTAGCACCCTATTATTTATGATTGATTGCGTCGAATGTAGTGCAAGCCAAAAGCAGAAGAAACATCTTTAATGAGTATTGATAATATACATATCTGCCGTCTTATAAACTTAATGGCCATGTGTATTCACTGGGCTTTAGTTGTTGAGTACACTGTGGTCCGCTTTATCTCCATATCTGTGCAATTATTTCATCTGCCTTGGTTGTGGTGGCGTTTGATGATCGCAAAATTAGTTTTAAATTGCCCCTCGTCAGCCAACATTCGTGTAATTTTATGTCATTTTAACAAATGTTTATCTGTTCGGACGTGGGCAAGTCACTAAACCAAAACATGTCAAGGTCGCCACGAATGTGTACATGGAGTTTGGAGTTTATTTATTAGGAGGAAAACTGCTTAGAAAACGCTGGAAAATAAAAGCATAAGCATTGAGTGCCGAGCTGAAGTTTGGCTTGCGAAATGCCAGTTTAGATTTTCGGTTGGCAACTTTGGCCATTGACCAAAATAAATAAACTTACCAAAAATGAAAGTTGCAAGCGGATTTGGCACAAAGTGCATCCAAGCAATTGCTCAAATGCTCCATTGAACTTTATGCCACAAAGTTACCATTTAAAAACGAATTTATAACGCTTTAAATGATTCCTCTACCTGTTACTTGCCGTTCAAAGAATCGGTTATAAGTATAATAAGTTGGAATTACCTTTTACCAGCTAACCCTGTTGGTTAACTTAAAGGTGAGCTAGAAACTTGAAGATGAAACGGCTCATTAAACGGGAACCGGCATTAAAACGCGCTTAAATTACATTTAATCACTTGTTATCAGTCAAGCAAGGCCATAAAAGCCCCACGCGATTGTTTGTTTGTTTGTTTGTCGATGGGGCTGGGCAATCGGATTGGGCCCATCAAGGGTGTGGGTTTTCATCAGCATAATTGTTACCATCCCCCGGAAAATCGCGGCTTTCAACTGCTCATTATTGTCATTGCGATTCGGCGGCATTTTAAAATTCAATTGTCGAGGTCTGCACGTGGCGCGACCACGCCCCCAGCAACACAACGCCCACTGCGCAGGCGGTGCACAGAGGCACTGAGAGAAAATATATCGATGAGCAAATACATTATTAAGACCTTCGGGTCTTGAAGAACTTAGGCCTGTACTGTCCAATAATATTTATTATTTCTAATATATTTAGCTTAGTTGGGTTGGGCAAAGCTTGCCCACTAACTTAAATAGCACAAATTTGTCCAAGGAGATCAAGATCATAGATATTTCTCTGGATGCACTGCCATGGTTTCCCACGTACTCGCTGTGTATTTGCGTTTCCATCCACATTTTCCGCATATGTGGCCCGCAATGCCTTTTGGCCACGTTTGTTGCCACAGCGCAGAGTCGCCTCATTTGCATTTCAACGGCACCGAGTTACCTGTGATTAAACGAAGCTGCAGGACGCAGGACTGCTCGTAACCAGCTCATTCAGCCGGCGATTCATGGCGATCATTTAACTCGTAATTGTGGGTTAATTCCGCATCCAACATTCGAGTTTTGGCAGGGTAAGTCGACTTCATTGTTTTTCACTTTTGCATCTGGAATGCCGCACTTTGATTTGCGTAGCACGTGGGCCAAAACAAGGATAATCGCTGGATGGGTGTAAGAAACCTGGATGAACCACTTGGAAAGCACCCACTTACTCCCACCCCAATTACGTCAGTGTAATCGAAGTGCATTCGATTTAAATTTAATTAATTACTGTTGACGGATTTGCGCCTGCTGCGGCACATTGCAAATGCGACAAGTCCACGTGAGTAGCTTTGCTTGCTGCTGTCCTGCTCTGTGCGGTGAGTGCCTCTCTCTCTGGCGCCGTCTCCCCGTCTCTCTCTCTCTCTCTCTGGCGACTGTGTCTGTCACTTGTTGTCGCTGTCAATTAAACGTAATCCCTTCGGCTGAGTTAAGTCCGCTCGTCTTTGTGAATTTGCGAGCTGTGCCAGAAGTCAAACTAATTTTCGACCCGCCTCAAAAGTGGAAAAGGAGAAGTTTGCTGGGCGTCGGGGCGCAAATAACGCTCATTAGCCGTAATGAGTTATAGTTGTGGACTACAATCCACATCGGACGCCAAACACGCTTTAGCGGCAATTATGCTGGGCGCCCGGCTTTTTATGGCCTGGTAGTCATAAAGTTTTGAGCTATAAATACTTTGGTCCGAAGGCCTTTGAGCCAGGCTTAAAGCGAGGCGGGGGGCGTGGCAGTTCGAGTGAAAGAGTTGGGCAGATTTTCGGGCTAAGCAGACGGGCAGCTCGCTGAGCTGACCGCAAATTGTTTGACATTTGGCACTGGGAACCCAACGAACCCAAGGAACCCCAGGAACCCCAGTGCTGAAACCGAGTAAGCCTGCATAGCTCCTGCTGACGGGCCGTCCGTCTCGCTCGCACGCCAAGTGCCGTCTCGCTTGCGCACTGGCAGGATAGTTTCGCTTGTGTTATTGTCACTTGCCAGCGGCAGTCTTGTGTTATTCTATCCAAGTTTTCCGCCACACAACAAGGACGAACTTTTTGTTGTTAATTCGTGCAAGTTTTGGGCAAGTATTTACGTGCCTCGCCGAGAAAGAGAACGAGAAAGAGAGGGCGCTAGGGCCCTAGAAAGAGAGGGCTGGCGTCGCCCACAGGCCGCCTGCTGCGAAAGTTTTGTATGTTAATGGCATAGTTTAGCCAAAATGTTTTCACTGACGCCTGCCGCCCACTCCAGATTATACATCCCCATTCATGTCCTCAAATTTTGGCAGATTCCCTGGCTCTGCACATT